CCAGCGGCGCCAGTATCACCAGGGAGCTTGTTAGAAACGTAAATTCTCAGACCTACTTTCAGCCTCCTGAATCAGAGACTCCTGGGGTGGAGCCAGTGACAAGTTTTTAACAAGGCATTCAGGTGATTCTGATGCAGCTTTGGGAAGCCCAGTTGGAAAGGAGGGCTCTCCATTTTGCAGAGAAACATGCTGATGGACCAGAAGCATGTGAGGAAGAAGCCAAAGCTTAGGCCATCAGGCACCAGCTGCTACAAACTGATCCGCAAAGCAGCAAATGTAGTAACAACATCGAGAAGCATGTGTGCCATGGAGGGGAATTGATTTCTCTCTTCCTTGGGGAAAATGGAAATGCTCATATTTTCTCTCTTCCTTGGGGAAAATGGAAATGCTCATATTCTAGAGAAAGCACAAATAATATGCTGACAAGCTTGGGGTGAGGGTGAGGTTTGTGTTAAATAACACACTCTGGTTTTAATGGTCCATGGTGAGAACACATTTATTTGTGTGTGATTTTGGAGAGAAATGGCTATCGTCATGGGGCTCTGTTTGCTTGCTATGTATGATTAGGCTACAATTACAAGCACAGAACCCAAATAAGCAGATTAAAATAGAGCTTTGATTGTGGTGAAATTTCTTTACAGTAAAACTGAACCCAATGCGAAACAGTGGGAGTCCTAGTTTTAGCAACTCTCTGATTGTTAATCAGCTTCTCAGCCGGAGATTTCTATGATAAATTTCAGGCTCTGGCTGTGGCTAATTTGCAGCATCCTCGCACAACTGTTATGTGCCACCAGGCATTTTGGGTCTTTTATTTTTAAAAACAAGCTAGACAGCAGAAAGCTTAAAACTAGGTACTATTAGGAAGCCAGTTTTTGAAGTATCTATTTTAATCTATAAAGTAAGTAAATATGGTAGTCATAGCATCCTTAATTAATATTATAAATTTATGACAACTTCAAAAGAATACTTTCAAAATAATATAGTGTGTGTCAAAGTTAAGGAACTGGTCTCACTATTCTATGCATTTTATGGGGCATCTCAGTTATTGTGCCAATACCAGGAAACGAGAAAAGATATCTCTTGGCCTTTCTAGTGCCTATTGTATTCTAATTCAATGTTTTTAAAACCATGGGTTCAGTGCCATTAGCTGGTACTAAAATCAGTTTGTTCAGTTGGTCACCAACACTAAAAAATGAAACAGAATAAAACAAAAACTAGAGTGCACCACACTTACATGGGTAAGCATTGTCTTCTGAAGCTTTTTTTCAGTCGTGTGTATACATACACATTGATCAAGTTTACTCAGTGTAGCCCTCAGGCAATACCAGAACCATCTTTCTGAAGACACATCTAAAGAAGTAATCCTTGGCCTCAAACTCTTCTCTCAGTTTCCGTAACAGTTAGAATAAAGTCAAAGGTGTTCAAGATCCCCTTCTCCTCTCTTTTCCATGGTCCTTTGACTTGTTATTTCAGAAAACATCACAGTCTACTCAGATGCTGAAACTCAAAAGCGGGTGCTTCTACTTGCCCCTCACCCACTCCATTTCCTGTTTACTCTGTCAGTGTCCCCACTTCATTCGCATTTAGTATGCGCCAAAGTGTACCGCCTTAGAGGCTCCTTCCCCGACCTGTCCATTGCTCCACCTCTACTTCTCCTACCTCCTGCCTTCTTCTGGCAAACATTGCCCCTTTTTTGGGGTATTTTTTAAAATAATAGTTACAACAGAAATTATCTTGTTTATTCTCGCAAATGTAGTTAGTATCTGTCTTCCCACCAGCATGTAAGCTCCATGGGGGCAGGGACCTGGTCTTTCTCTGCCCTATCTCTGTGCTGATCCTATTCAGGGCTGATGGTAGAAGAGTCACCAATAAGTATTTACCAAATGAAAGAGTTCCTGAACTAAACTCTTGGTTCCTGAAATATTCTCTTCTGCCTTTTCTTCATGGTACTTGCTGTTTCCTCTGCCTCAAATGCACGGTATCTACTTGTTCTCTTTGTGGGCTTCTATTCATCTCTTAGGATTTTACCTTCTTTATGAAAAATTTCCCAATGCCCTTGGACAGAGTTCATACTTTTTCTCAAGGATGCCACATGTTTTTTCACTCACTGTGTTGCAGCAATTTTCATATTGGACTTCTCACTGGGCCATGAGCTTTTTCAGAGCAAGGCTGTGTTTATTCATGCTTTTTCTTTCCTCAACTCCTAACACTTGCTCGGTATATATATCATTCAATAAGTGTTGAATGACTGAGTAAAGAAATCAAAGAAAGTTGATTAAGAACAGTGATTATTTGGGATGATGTTCCCTGGTTTAAACTGTAAGTAAATAAAATTCTAGATTATAGAAAGGGAAAAATGTGTGTGTGTGTGTGTGTGTGTGTGTGTGTGTGTTATGTGGCGCAGTGAGTGATGGGAGGGGTGGGAATAAAGAGGAGTGAAACCATAATTATTCTGTATAAAATACTTCTCTTTACAACACGAGTCATTTTAAATATCAAGCTGTCTTAGTGCATTTACAATCTGATATGCTTGACCAGATTTCATTTCCTCATGGTTTTTCAAGAAGGGAACTGTTAGATACAGTGTTAATAATAAAAAAACTAATGTGGCTATGATTTTAGGGTACAACATGACCTAGACCAGGATAGTGCAGGGTTTGTACTGTTCTCTGTGAGACTCTAATGTCATATTAGGAAATATGATTCATAGAAAATGTAGATTGAAGGAGGAGAAAAATTTGTCCCTAAATGCATACATAAATAAAATTTATGTTTATGTGTGTGCGTGTGTGTGTGTGAGCCAAAAATATCTTGTTTTCTCTGGATTTACATTTCTGTCTTAATAGTGCTATTGTTTGCTCGTCACCATCTTAAATAAAACTCACAAGCTGGAAAGAGGACAACCACTTATAAACAAACCTATTTTCTTCTCTATTATTTTTCCTTTTATCAAAGAGACTCCCTCATTTGCCTTCAGGTTCCAACTATAGAGGATTCTTTAAAGTGGGAGGTGGCAAAACCAGAGGTGAGATATCTGCAGCACTTAGCAAAAAGCTTTCTCAAGCAATTATATTGGGAAATCTGCCTCTCTTCTTTTATCCAAAGTTAATAATGTTAGAAGATCTGCATTGTAAATAAAAAACTGTAGTAGAGAGGGTCCTTTTAGAAAATGGCCCTTTTCTTGTGGATCCAGGCCTGGCTTACCTCGTGTGATTTTAGGACGTCAGGAATGACCCAGCTGCACAATTTTTCCTCTGTATCATTAAAGGTTCAGTACTTTGGGGTTAATAAACTGCTTTATTTAAATAAGCCCTGGTCAACTTACAAGAATAAGCTAGGCTCTGACTGTTGGCGATTCTGTAACAGCCAAAATGGCTGCCCTGGGGAATCGTAGTTTTGATAGATAGAAGGAGAATGACAGGACCTTGTAGAAAACCCCAAATGATCGGAGGAACTGGGTGTCCCTATGTCATGTGGAGACAGGACGCCAACAGGTCATTCATGACTCGTAAAGGAATGGTGAGCAAATGGCATGGCTATTCAAGTGTGCCTAGTCCACACTTATCAGGGCAAACTTTCCACGGGGCTGAGGGAGGCAGAAGGAGAAGTATATAATTTTCAAAGAAACAGAAAAAATAAGAAGCGATAGTATTAATTTTGCAATTAAATAAAAATTACATTAGTTTAAAAATTAAAGAAATTTCAAGGAAGCAAAACTACTTAGCGCTAGATACCATAACTTATTAAGATCATTGGATTCTGACCCTGAATGTCTCTGTTTTTGGACATGACATTCATGCACCCTAAGATAGAGCCAGAAGCAGGCCGTCTTGAGTGGGTAGGGATGGGGTCTCTCTCTGTCTTTCTCTCTCACTCTCTTTCTGTCTCTCTCTCTCGGGTTCTGGAGAGAGAGTGGGTATGTGTGACATGGTTCTGACAAAATCTGTCTCTACAGGCCTGTGCTCCCTTTAACTTGCTCTCAACCTGTTTATAGAGGATAATATGCTGCTTATTTCCAAAGATATTCTGCTCAGCTCTGGTAATTATAATTTAAGGAGACATAATAGCTAGGAGGCTTGACGTTACATGTATCAAAATTTCCAGCCATGAAGAAGAGGGAGTTAATGTGAATTGAGTAATTAGCTGCGCAACTTAGGAAAAGTTCAAGTTATTTCACTTTCTGTGCCTCAGCTTTCTCATCTATAGATTAGGAAACATTTTTGTCTTACCTTATAATGTTGTGAGAATTAAATGTCATTAGGCTTCAGGCATTTTCAACAGAGGGGCACATAGTGAAGTGTTAGCTATAATGAAATGATGATTGTTCTCCTGAGGCAAGCATTAGATTCTCTGCTTTGCTATCTTGCTTAATTCTCATACAATTGTTTTAGGCTACTATTTTCAACCCATTTCCAGTTAAGGCGAAGGTGTGACAGACAGATTAACTAACTTGCCCAGGGATATAGGAGCAGTGAACTGCAGAGCAAATGGGGATTCAAAGCCAGGTGGATGGGCACCAAGTGTCTCATGAGTTCCCCATCTCTGCCTTCCTGTGAGCCCCTCTTTACCACAGTCCTCTAAAAGGTTCACTGTGTTCGTATAGCAGTTCTAAAAGCTTCCACTGTATTCCCACAGCAGCTTGCCTGGGTGTTTCTAGTGAATTTCTCCACATCCTGATTTTTTTTTTCTCAACAAACTTTACCTTGCTCATTCCTCCTTCAGTGGAACCTTGTTAGCTTTTAGGGCACACCCCCGGCTAAGCATGGGCTTACGGGGCCAGCTTTCCCCACCCCTTCCCTCTGCTTTCCTTTAAAGTGTCACCAGATGCCTCTGATTCACTCTCTTTGCTCTCGGCCCTCACAGGGGCAGGAGGAACCAAGGCTGGGTCCAGGACTCATCAGTCCCGAGGTGACAGTGAAGGGGTCTTGGGGGAGTCCTGGCTCCCCTACAGCCCCTCCTTCACTGGGACTATTGGCAATAACAGAAAACCACCTGGGAAAATGAAGACCTTCTGGTAAGACATGGACACTGGAAAGAGTGACAGGGAGAGAGGGTCAGGGGCCCTGGACAGAGGGTCTGTGTTTTTGGAGTGATGATAAGATGTGAGGAGGTAAAGCAAGAGATGAGAGAGATGAGAGACAGAGACAGAGACAGAGAGAGAGAGAGATGAGAAAGTGAGACCCCCCCCCAAAAAAAAGCAAGCACGAGAGACAGAAGAAAGAGGGAGAGATGGCCACCAAAATGGAGGGGCAGAAATGGAGGGGCAGAAAAACTGCGGTAGAGAAACAGTGAGATAGGTAGAAATGGAGACAGTGAGATAGAAACAAGAACTTAATGATTGGTTGAGTTTAGGAGCTGAAAATATGAGAATTCATTAAATCTCAATAAGATTTCCAAGTCAAAATTTAAAAAAAAAGCTATACTGAGATTTGATCACCTATATTAGTTAGGTTTTTACCACATTTAAAAATACTAAAGTAGTCCCCATCTGGAGGATTCCTGTTTGAGTCATTTTTCTTCTCTCCCTTTCAGGAAAATTCCAGTTTTCTTCTTTGTATGCAGTCTTCTGGGTCCCTGGGCATCTGCGACTGTCCTCAAGCGTCGCCCAAGTAAGGGCCACAGTTGCTAGAGTTTGAAATATCACTTGTTCCCAGAAGGGATCAGGCAGGGCTGTGGCTGCGTAAGGACTGAGCGGGCCCCCACGGTCCTTCATACCCTCTCTTCAGCGCTGCTTTGGCCATGCGTGCTCCATGGCTGGCTTTCTGTAGTCAATGCTGGGTATAAAAACGAAGTCCTGGCTGTGATCAAAGTTGGCAGAAAAGCCAGCCTGTGTGCTTCCATGCCTAGCACAGCCTCCTACCTGGTTTCCATAGTGATTGCTAACGTTGGATAGATGGGTAGATGTATAGAAGCTATTAATCTGGGGTAAAGGGAGGATTTGTTTGATATGCGGGGATGGTTGAGCCAAAGCTTTGTAGCTGTAAAATTTTTTTCCTAAAGTCTGGGAAGCCTCTGCCATCAGGGGAGTCTCAGCAGGGAACAGGGTTGTATAGTCACAAGAGGCTTTCTGTGGTGGTGAAAAAACACTTCTTCCTTACAACCGTCCACTTGTGTAAGGAGCACCCAGTTTCATTCTAGGATTCCTCATCAAATTGAGCATTTAATCCTTTTCATTTTCTTCTCACTGCTCTTCCCATTTTAGGATACTAGTAATAGTCTAGTTGGGATCATTATTTAGTCTCCTAAAATGAGCTTATGAAATTCAACGTGTGTTCTATATTTTATTTAGGATTAGGAAATCTGAGACTCCACCACATCCCTCCTCTATCTAACAAGGATTCCTAAGAACTCCCCTCCCCAGAAGTCTCGTTGAACTGGCTCAAGGCTGGCTCTGGATTCTCTTAGGAATTTTAAAACTTGTGTCGTTAAAGAAATATTTTCTAGCCCAAATCACCAAAAGTTTCGAAACAAGCTTCTGACACAGTGCCATTCAGGACATTGTACCTAGTGCTGTAGCTAGTTCCAAAAGGAACAAATTGCTAATTTCCCCAAAAGGAACATTTCCCAGCACAAATTATTAAAACACCTCTGTGCCTTGCCTCCCTTCCAGAATGAGTCAAAATGAATAAATTATGATCATAGAGTTAAAGCCAAATGCACCACTTATAAGCAAGATGTTTTGGTATGGTATAATACAGTGCCTTACATAATTTCTCAGCTCTTATTATTATTGAAATATTCCCCATGATTCCTATAACAAATGAGGTAAGATGATGTGATCTCTCTTGCAGGGTTTCCTGTCAATTCAATTTCTAATGGTGGAAATGAACTCTGTCCAAAAGTCAGGATTGGCCAGGATGATTTACCAGGCGAGTACCAGTGCATTGTATCAAAAATGCATGCTTTCTGTAACTTTATCTGATACATTCTTTCATTTGGATAGGTTGTGGAAAGGAATAAAACCAATCTCATTGTGGACATTTTATTTTGTGTTTCCTTTTTCTAGGGTTTGACTTGATTTCTCAGTTCCAAGTAGATAAGGCAGCATCTAGAAGAGCAATCCAAAGGGTAGTGGGATCAACTGCATTACAAGTGGCTTATAAATTGGGAAATAATGTAGACTTCCGGATTCCAACCAGGTAATATAAACACTTAAAAAATCTAATTATAAGCCTTACATGCATTTAAAAAAATGAAAAGCTATCCAATGATAGAGAATCTTCTGATGCTCAATGTCTCTTGAATCATGACTTTATTTAAAGATGAAGGGATTTATTTACCTACCTATCCTCAGTGCCTGAATATGTGAATGCTGTCCATGTTTTTGGTATGTAATTTACTTCCCATTCCAGAGGGAGAGAAATCACTGAGACTATTATACATTGATTCAGGACATGTTCTTATTACTCTGCTCTCTGTTTTTCTATAATTTGTCTGGTTTTGGCTGAAAGGACCCTCTGTGGGAAGTGCCAGAGGTTAAGCATAAATTTAACTGGGAGCCTCGCAGTGGCTAGAGGGCTCACAATGGTGCTGTTCAAACATCCTGGTGCTGAAAGGGAACCACACAGCCAGTGCTTGGCTCCTGGCAGGAACCAAGCAAAAGCAAAAGCAAAACCAAAACAACAACAGAAACAACGGTAGTGATAATAATGAAAACCTCTCCACTTCATTTATCTCTTGCTTTGGTACTCTTTTATCCTTTAAATCATTCATTACTGAGATGCTTTTGTGTATGAGCAAGGGTTGAGTCATAGTATTGTTATAAATGAACTTTAGGGCTTTCAGTTGTATGTCATCTGATACCTTATATGTGACTATTGTGATTATATCTTGGGGCACTGCAAAAAAAAATTAAGATTCCTTTAATGAATGAATGAGAAAATTAGGGCTTCGATAGAAATTAAGGTGTAAGGGTTAATAATGATTAGTTAGAAAAATAAAGAATATTATAGAAACTCTAAATGTTTATAATAATAAAAATTTTGGTCAAATTAGAACATTCTTATACAGTGCCAGATTGCATATAAATTTACATTTTGAACATACTATATTTTATAAAACGATAATAGTGCACTCTAGGATTTTTTTCTTTTTAAAATATTTTATTTATTTATTTTTAGAGAGGGGGAAGGGAAGAAAGAGAGAGAAAGATCACTGCGCAGTTACCTCTTGTGCATCCCCTACTGGGGACCTGGTTTGCAACCCACGCATATGCCCTGACTGGGAATTGAACTGCTGACCCTTTGGTTCACTGGCTGTCACTCAATCCACTGAGCCACACCAGCCATGGCTCTATAAATTCTTTTAACTAATTTCCCAATTAACATTAAATCCTGTGGTGAGGACATATTATCCATAGTTTATGGAGGCATGAACTGAAGTGAGAGAGCGTAAGTTACTTGCTTACGATCACAGGTTTGGGAGGTGCTGGGAGGATTGAAACACAGGCAGAACGGCACCAGAGGCTATACTTCTAGCCAGTATTTGATATTGACCCTGGAAAATGATTCACATTTGGAAATATTAAAGGCATAATGACAACTATTAATTTTTTTGCTTATATATATTTTTTCATGCACAGAAGTCTTAGTTATGTTCTTAAATAAACTTTAAAAAGTTTAATTTTTCTTTCCTTAATAAAATAATTAAACATCACACAAGACCACCAAAATGCTGACTTAATTTTCTCTTCTACAGCTTAAGGTGCAATCTGTCTGGAGTGTCGTTGACTTTGAATTCAGAGATCGAAGGTCTTGTAGCCCCTATCTCCCTCTCATCTTTTTTGTTGTTCCTCTCTAAGTGCCTAGAGTTATCACTAAATACTTTTAAACAGGCTGTGGCCAATGTCCTATATTCTCTATCTTCTTAACTCTCTGCTCCCCACAAACACTGAAAATTCTTATTTTGCTGGCAAGGCTTGTTAAAAGATGAGAAAAAAGGAAGGAATAGAAGACAGAAGTAGGGGAAAGAAATACACACAGAAAGAGGGGAGCCAAAGGCTGGAGATAGCGGGAGTTCCAAATAGACAGTAAAGTCCATTCTTGGGTAAGTTACTTACATCAGCTTTGCTTCAGTTCCCTCAGTGGCAGGAGTTGCTAGGAGAAGCACGTGTTAATCAGTGGAGAGGGGTTGAACAGAACCTGGGACACAGTGGTATTAGTTGGCTGTAAGTAGGGAAGAGCACTATAAGGAGAAAGTGTATACAGACAAAGTTCTTTTTTCCTTAGTGAAGTCTTTCTACCAAAGTTAGCATCCCAGTCCTGCTTATTCAAAAACCAGGTAGCAGGATGGACAGGGCCTGGAATTGCTCTCAGATCATGCAGGAAGTAGACTGCCTTGGTTTAAAGGGAATTTCCATGCTGGAGAATATAAGTTCTAAGTGAACAAGAAAGAAATTTATTAGCAGGATCTTGGTGGAAGGGAAAGGAGAGAATGACATCTGGAATTAATGTGATAAAGTTCAAATCATCCTTTTCTTTTTAATATTTTTGGAAGATTATGAGACATGATATTTTGCTGTTTGTATTCTTTATTCTAGGCATTATAATTTTACATTCTTAACTCATACTTAGAAACATGTTATGTCTGTTTGCTTTAACAAATACAATCCTTATTTTTTCTTTGGCTTAAGGTCATAAACAAATGTTTCAAGGTCTAAAGACTTCTTATCATTTATTTAAACCATTATGGTTCTCCTTTTAAGATGCTCTGTGCAGATTGTAACAATGAAATAAATCATTTATAGATCCAGTTTCTTTTAAATTATGTATGCTGTCAAATTTACTTATTGATGTGCATAGCATATTTGCAAAGAACGGAATCTCAGGTGTTTAAAAAAAGACAATGCAACTGACTTCTATAAATTAGATTTGTGAGGAGTTTTAAATGACCTTAGGCATATACAAATACATATATATTTTATTACTTTGAAACTGGAAGGAATTTTCTTCTTTTATCATATTGACATACTATATCATCCTAGTTTAAAATATTAATAACATGATAATCTTTATTATATTTGCATATATACGCAAAAGCACAGACACAGAAAATATATATATTATCTCGATGGATATGGAGACAGATGAATATCCTTGGTTTAACAATATGTCCATAAATGAAATTTCTCCTAACAACCTCAACCATGACCTCATTTTAAAAAAGTCTTTGGCATTACATAACCAAGTCAGATGTAAATGGGAACATTATGTCCTATGCTACTTTCAACATAATCTTTTTGCTCACTTAGCAGGAAAGATTGGATGAAGCACAAGTTGGGAAAGCACCCTGTTAACCTCATGACTTCTTTGCAAAAGAGTCACTTGAGCAAGTTTCGGTGACTTCTAAAATCAAATCAAATCAAATACATTTGTTTCTTTCCTAGGGACTAATGAAATTCTGCAGCTTTGCTCAGTACATGTGTGAACAAATAAATAGGTAACACAGATTTTTTAAAAAAACCTATAAGAAGGCTGCTTTAGGGAAGAGAACAAGACAAAGCAGTAAGATTTATCTCCCTTCTATAAAAACCTCACATCTCAACAGTAACTATCTTGGACAAAAAAGAAAAATAAATTCTTTAAGCATCTGGTTACGTCCATGTTATTAGGTGAAAAGAATATGATTCAAGTGGATACTTGTCAAATTTTACCATTGAATAAAACTTTTAAGACGTATCTCCAAGCTCCAAATAGAGGTCAGTTAAATGAACTGTAAAAACTTCTATAAGGTTTTATAATTTTACAGTAGGCAATATATTATGTTGTCATTAATGAATCTTAGTTTCTTCCCTGGAAGTTATTCTGAAATATGTATCTTCTGAAAAATGTCAAGTCCAAAAGAAATATGACAAATAGAATAACTATTAAAAACATATATCAAAATAGATGTGATAGATTTCCTAGTCTGGGGAAATAGTTCTTGTATACATGTTTTCTTTTTTTAGCTTCAAATTGAATCTTTTAAAATATACTTGTTAAAAACCTCCTGTGCACTTGACAGACATAAAAGATGTTTAGTAAACTGAAAGCTGTGAAATAAGTATGGTGCCCATCACCAGTAATCACTTAAGAATGTGTATTAACCCAATATTATAAACATAAACTAGTCACTATAGAAAACAATAGCCAAAAGAAGTAGCTGGATGAAAAAAAGAACACTCAGATGAAAAGTTTCACATTTTAATTTTTTTTATAAAACTAATAAAACAATGAAATTTGTTGACATAGTTGACCCATTTTATTGAAGGCTTTCAAAAATTTTTTCAGTAAAGAGTGATATATTTGTTTATGCCCTTACTATAAAGGGATGACAAAGTCTTATAGTTAAAGTCAAAGTAAGCATAGAAAATCTTAGCAAGTTGAGTAATTTCCTTTATTGCTAAACATTCTTAGAAATGAAGAACTTTTTGGTTTAGAAATTCTTGGTCCCAACAATATGTTTTAATGTAACTGGCAACAACACAAAATATACACTCAGGAAATTTATATGTTATTCACTTTAGTTCGAACACATTAATTAAGTATTCACTTAGATATTCATTCTTGCCTTTCTCTTTTTTACTCTTTACAAGAAGGGGACTATAAACAGGAGTTTGACCTGAAGAAAGTTTAATTGGGACTTTGGGTCCTGGTCCATAACTGTTCTCAGAAATATCCAGTTTTTTTATTTAGCAAGAAAAATTCATTGGCATCTACTTTTCCTAGCATTTCTTTCTTACTAAGAATGTTTTTATACTTAGAAGGAGAAAGGTAGAAGAATAAAAGCTTCAAGTCCTTGAAAGGCGAAGTTTACATTTAATATGTTCTGATTTTGTTGCTGTTAATTTTTGTCCTCGGGCTTTAGCAGTTTGGTTTAACAAAAGCAGATCCAGGTAGTCGCAGCTTCAGATTTCAGCTTCCACATAGCCCGGAGATGTCTGAGGGGCGCTGATGGTCTCAGGCTGCTATTTAAAACAGTGAGCTAGCAATGATACAGACGCAGTTTTCAAACTGAGAAACAACTAGTTTGGAATAGAGAATTAAGAACTGGTCACCTTTCCCTTGTCACAAGTCCAGCGACAAATAACAGCTGCTAATGTAACATAACACTTTGAACTCCCTGGAAAAGAAAAATTGTTCAGCATGAAAGAACTCAAGTTTGCACAGTTACTGATTCTCAAAATGCTCATATGGGTACAGGACAATTGTGGAGGGGAATACCCAAGAAATTATGGAAATAACAAATAATCTATGTTATATTAAATTAAACACTTAAAAGCTGCTTTAATTAAATGGTCTCATAAACTGGCAGAGCTGATTTAGATTCCAAATGATCTCTTCTTTCATTTGTAGGAGAAATGATGCCAAGAACTTTGTAGGAATGTGTTTCTTGGCTGAAATGAAATTGCTGAACAGTAGCTCTTTAGGCACCATAAATAGTGACATTGTTGGGGTTGTGTGGCATTAGGAACTCCCCTCCGCTTTGAGGGAAGGTTTTTTTTAAACGTGTACTTTAAGATGGAGCCTTAATGTACATGAATAATTGAACTTCTGTGAAGATCTTCATTAACAGTCATGGAAGAATAAATAGTACATAGTTTTTTACCCTGTAGCTTTTCTGTAGATCTAGAATCTAAAGCAGCAAAAGAGAATATGGTAATATTCATGGGTACAGAAAACAAGATTTATATTTATTGTTTTAAAATTTTACTCAGGCATATATATCCCAGTGGACTGCCTGAAGAATATTCCTTTTTAACTACTTTTCGGATGACTGGAAGCACACTTGAAAAGAACTGGAGCATTTGGCAGATTCAGGATTCCTCAGGGAAGGAGCAAGTTGGCGTGAAGATTAATGGCCAAACAAAATCTGTTGCATTTTCATACAAGGGACTGGATGGAAGTCTCCAATCTGCAACCTTTTCAAATTTGCCCTCCTTGTTCGATTCCCAGTGGCATAAGATCATGATTGGGGTGGAAAGGAGCAGTGCCACTCTTTTTGTTGACTGCAACAGGATTGAATCCATACCTATAAAGCCAAGAGGCCAAATCAATGTCGATGGCTTTGCTGTGTTGGGAAAACTTGCAGATAATCCTCAAGTTTCCGTACCGGTAAGTATAAAGTCATATACTACGGTAGATTAAATCAAAACCACATTGCTAAAATTAATACCTCAGAGATCTTTAGTAATCATCTGAATGTCTTAAACAATGAATAGTTATTCATCTTTTCAATTCACTAACGCACTTATTCAAAAAGCTTTCAGTGCTTTTTTTGAGTATGACATGTACCAGATAGAATGGGGAAGCAGAGGAAGTTAAGTAGAGATGGCTCCTGGTCTTGGGAGCTTAAAGTCTACTTGGAAATTGCTACATGTCCACCTGTAGCACCCAGGATCCTTCTGAAGGGACTTAAAGAAACCGATACTGGTGTGGCACATATTATATATAAATAATTGATGAGAAGATTCAAAGTAAGGTTAACATAAATGGTGGATTCATTTAGTCAAGAATTTCATACTTTTTGGAAGCAGTGGACCTTAAAATGGAAGGATTCAAATTGGCAAAAGAAGAGATGAAAGGGCATTCTAGCTGAGAGGAAGAGCATTAAAGGAAAAAGAAGCAAAGAATAAGTAGGTCACATTCAAAGATTTGAAGACTGGCTGCTTTGGATGAAATGCCTTCATGAAAATGTGAGTGAGTGCATGCGCAAGTGTGAGCGCAAGTGTGTGTGTGTGTGTGTGTGTGTGTGTGTGTGTGTGAGGCAGGTGAGGGATAGTAACTACAGAGTGTGGGAGATGAGGTTAGGAAGCCATATGATGTCTGATAAGCAAGAATGAAAATTGTATAAAGGGCAAAATACTTGTTTATTTAGAAGTAGGTCTTGCATGGAGTAGTATAAAAGTAAAGGATTTTAGAGCTCTGTTTATGATTTTACTGTAGAGGTCCATGGATATAAAGGTAAGGAATGATATGATAACACATAGTTGTGTTGATTTTCAATGAACAATTCTTTTTTAAAAAATATTTTATTTATTTATTTTTAGAGATAAGGGAAGGGAGGGAGAGAGGGAGAAAAACATTGATATGAGAGAAATGTCATCAGTTACCTCTTGCATGCACCCTGACCGGGGACCAGGCCGCAACCCCAGGCATGTGCCCTGACCAGGAATCAAACCAGTGACCTTTCACTTTGTGGGACAGTTCTCAACCAATTGAGCTGTGTTGGTCAGGGCAATGAGCAATTCTTTAAAAAGATATTATAATATTATGACATAAATTTTAAAAAGGTATCTTAGAGGACAAGTGTTCTTTTAGAGGAAACTAAAGAATTTGCAACTCAATAAATATTGATGACAATCTCTCTCTCTCCCTCTGTTTCTCTTTCTGTCTTTCTGTCTCTGTCTCTCTCAGGGCTGTTAAATTCTAGTCACCAAACTCATATCATAGAGCGTAGCAGGGGTGATACAATGATTTTGAATTGTTTCTGTGCCCTTCTTCAAAGGGGAGGGAAAAAAAGGTTATATGGCATCTCAGTAATGGAATAGTTCAGATAACTTCTTTCCAAGGGAAAAATTGTGATTAGTGTGAAGGATAGTGTGAAATTTCTATATTCTTGATGTACAGGAAAAAAGTTGTAACCACCACATTACTGCTCTGGCTTGTAGACACTCGAGAAAGTGTATCTTCAACTAATGAGTTATCACACCTCAAGTGGCTGGGTCAGAAAGCCAATGGGACCACTCTTGCGCCATCTTGAATTTTATGCAGTAAAATCGTTGCAATGGTGACGGAGTTGTTTTCAGACAATACTGAATTTCTGCAATATCTGTGTCATTATGAACCATGGATGAAGGAAAAAATGATCTAAGGGTACCCCTTCACTGTAATGTGTATCAATCAAGTACTTCTAAAATTGATTTATTGATTCATTGACCTTGAACAACATTACAAGTCATTATAATCTGAATCTGTGATGCTGGTCTTCTATTAAATTGATTGCTAGAGCAGTAAAGTCACAATATTATTTCATTTTATTTCAGTCCAGCCAGTAATGTTAGAGCTGATTGCAAGTATTCTGACAAGTCTAGCCTCACATCACAGTGGAGACCAGTAAGGACCAGTTATCTTCTGTTTTATTCTTCCAAGTACAAGAATGCAACAAAGAACCTGGAGGCTGATGTTATATTTTGCTGCAGGTCCACCAAGAGTTTTTCAGTCAGTGCAGCATAGCCAATATTAAAAGTACCTAAAAAAAGCCTAAGCAATTTTTTGTTTTATACTGAATTCTGACCCCTCACAAGGAAACATAAGACTTGATATGTTAAGGGTATTAAAAAATTCCATATTTGATGATATGGTGGTGGTGACGGTAGTGACAATAACTCAAATTGATCAAGGATATAGACCAGAACATTTTTACTTACATCCAAGGACTGACAGTTTACAATGTCAAGCTCAAATTTGACACCAAAATATATTCCTCAACTGTTACCCTATGTAAGAAAAAGTAGAAAACTCTATGTAAGGAAAGCCCGTTTATGCTTTAAAAAAACAGTTTAATAACCTTAATTTACCAATATAATGTTTTCAAAATCCTTCCATTCCCATTAACTTATTTGATCCTTGCAATAGTTTTATAAATTAACAAGCGTAGATAGGATTATCTCCGTTTCCCAGGAGAAGAAGTTATCTCAAGCAGGTTCTTGGCTTGTAAGAAACAGTGTTAGCTATAAAATTTCTAATCTACCTTATTTTCTGCTATGCAAACTAACTTTCCTCTGATAAAAAATAAAAAATGTGTAACCATATAACTTTCCTTATAAAACATCTCATTGTTTTTATTTTGGAAGACATTTGTAATTTGCATGGAATTTTCAGTATTTACTTTGCAGGATAAACAATAATTTTTTTTTTTAAAGAAAGATGATTGCGCAGTATGAAACAGGTCCTCAGACATTAATCCTGCTTGTTAATTTACTTAGCAAATGCCATCATGTGCTTATATACTGGGTATACATAGTTAAAGTAATCACAGCTCTCATATTTTTCAGTCTATAGGGAGTGAGGGGTTGAGATAGTGCACAATGGTAACCCAGGAAGGCCCATGACAGTGAATGGCGGCACATGGAAAAAGCTCCCCTCTCAGATCAGGGCATGGAGGTGTGAGAGGGAAATTCAAGGATGTTCTCTGAAGGAGGTGATGTCTAAGAGGGACTCTGGGGATGAATAAGAGTTATCCAGGAGAAGATAAGGCCCAGTATTCCAGGCAAAGGGATTCTCATTTGGGAATTCCCATGTTTAATAATTTTTCCCCTTTAAATTTTCTTACACTACACTGCTCCTCACTTTTCTAGACTAAAAATAGTCAAATACCCATACAAGTGCCCAGACAAAGCCCAAATGCCCGTAAGCTGTACCTATACCCTGTTTTTATTTCACGTCTTACGATCTCACCGAGTTGGCGGAAGCTGCTGACAATTGCTGAAGATAGTGACTACGTGTTCCTTAGAAGACTTAGAGAGTGATGAGTGGTGGTATCCATATATTCTGGGAGGTAGAAGCAGCACACTATCAGGGCACACATCTCTCTGCGTGGAGACAGCAAATACTCAATATTACTCTGGGAGAAATTTTAAATGAAAATGAAATGTGCCAATAGCATGAAAACAACGAGGAATAATATACCTTTCAATTTTTTTCTTGAAATTGGAGGATCAACAGTTGCTTTTGTTTAGTAAGTAAATCAAAAGCAAACATCCCTTTTAAAGGTATTTACAGATGTCAGGAGGTAGCCATAGAAACTGCTTACTAAAAAAGGCAGTTGAAACATTGGATGGAACATCAATGCCAAAAGACTCATTTATATTGTCCTTGTTTGTCATTTCCCCCTTTCTATTCTATCTTTTGTCTCTTTCCCTTTCTAAATTAGAAAAGGAAACCAATTTCAGGAGGTTTTTGTAAGGCTTGCAATATAGCTGCTCACGTGGTCTACAACTCAAACATTCTCATCGTTCGTGCTTATTTAGTGGCCTCAGAGCATTTTATATTTTTTCCCAATGTACTGCTGTCATACATTGTTAGTTTGATTTTAAAGCAATAAATCCCATATTTCCTATCCTCCTTTGTATTCATATTTTAGGATGGTGCCATTTATCCCACTGCAAAGCTCAGTTTCCTGGCAGCAATCATAAAAACATGTTATTTTATGACAGGTTCTTTATTGTTTGCTGTCAGCATGATTGCCTAGGAGAGTTATTTTGTACAGCTCTATTAGAAAACAAAGTTAGCCTTTTTCCCTTTTGAGGGATGTGCACTAGGGGCTTGTTTGAGGGAGGATAAAAGTTTATGTGGCTTTGCAAATATATCATTTAAGCCCTTTTTCTTTTTCCCTGCATACAGTCCAAACAAAACAATGTGGGACATGATTAATCAGACAGATAAAATGCTTTTAAAAGTGTATTTGAAATGTGTTGCTCTATGTTATTTCTGTAAATTCATGAGAGTAAATAGAAAGAACCAGAAAAACTGTTGATGGAGGAGCTATCTGTCCTTTTCTTTACTCCATAGAATTAAATCATACTAACCTCCAAATATAAAAATAATATAAATGTCATAGATGATAAGGGAGAATCAATCATGAGGTTGTGATTAATATTATTTCTGGTATTTAAGAAATACTGTAGGAAAGTTATGTTTTTAGTGATTTAAGAAATGCATGGTATACATGTACCTAAACTACTAAGTTGGCTTATGAAATTGTTTTTGTCAGGTACATTTTTTACAAATACTCTTTCACTTGGAAGTAATAAGTAAATACGAAAGAAATGGTAATGTTACCTGAACGTATTCATAGGAAATAACTTTTTAAAACAGTTTGACATGATTTGATTAGAATATTTTTGAATGCTGGCTGTCAAAACAAATTTTTTGGAGATAAAACTTAACATGTTGCATTGTAGACCGTGTCAACATTAGCTGAATTTTCCACTAGGTGGCAATGAAAGGAGAACAGACAGAAAAGGAGATGCCAACATAGGAGAAGCCATGGTTGTGGGAGGGGTTACAGATAACTGGAATAAAAACAAAAAGATGGTCAAACTTGTTTTTAA